GTGAACAGAGTTTCTGCGATGTTCAATGCGGGAGGAGAAGTGGCGCAAAATAACCCGGCGGAATAATAAATAATTTTGTGCGTAGCATAACAGGTAGTTGGAATGCTGTATCAGCATTCCCACTAAATAAGACCAAACACAGGGGGTGAACTCTTATCAAAATAAAACAGGAAACATGAATAACCAAGATCCTGACATGATTGGCAGTTTTAATGTGAGTCCATTTAAATGCTATGGATCCATACAGTTGAGGATTTTATTATAGCTTAAAAAAACTAGCTCTTCTCTGTGTAAGCACGGCCACACACAGAGAGGATGCAAACATTTTCTCTACCCCATTCTCTCCATCATTCCCTGTTTTCTCTTCCTTCCATCCATCCACCCTTAGCCTATTAAAACACAATAACAAAGTAATGATAGCTTGAATACAGCCTGAGCTGATTGTGTTTATGTTCAACCGTCTCTCCTCTCTGTTCCTGTGTGCGTAACTTCAAATGAGTTGAGGCCAGCTCCACTAAAACCAGGCACCATTTCACTGTAATAACAGTAATCAGTTAGGCCCATTTTAAATAAGAACAAAGTGAGTGTATTGTTATGCTCAATTACTGTTTGTGGTTGGGTCATGCACAAATGAATACATACACGTGTACGCCTAATTCCATCACGTTATTTATGCCTTTTGCCTGCCCAGCCATACAGATCTGAGGGATTATGGCACCCTAAATTGGTCTTTATTCACTAAAAGAACAATAAAAACGATCAATGCAATTAAAACAAATTAAGGTGGGTACCCTAAGCTCTGCAAAAGAAGACAAGAAGCTGTATCAGTAACATTAGGTTGTAATGCAGCAAAGCACTATGTGTTGCCGCTCTTTTAATTCATTTTTATTTAAAATGTTTGATAAATCAAACTTAAGAATCAGAATCAGAAATACTTTTATTATCCCAGGGGGAATCTTTTTTTGTGACAGTTGTTCCATTTTAGAATGAAATAAAATAAGACAGATAAAATAAAATACTATATAAACATAATACTGTAGTGTCTCGCGAATACAGGGAGGCTTAGTTTGTCCTTTATCCGGGAGTTTATTATACAGATCACAGGTTACTGTTGGCCGTAACCACGCCAAAACAATCCACTAACCCTGTCGTATTCTCACTCTCCGTCACATCCCCCCGCTAGCTCTCCCTAGCTTCCCGCGTCTCTCTCCCCAGGAACTTCCCTCTTCCAGCTCCAACCAACCAGACAACACTCTCCCACCCAAACCCACAGCTACAGGTCATGAGGACCGTCCATCAAAAACAGTGGCACGTTCACTGACACTCTGTAAAATGCAAACAAACTCTGAACAACAAACAGATCAAACATCAACATTATAAACCAGTCCGTTACAATACTTATAATTGTGGACAAAAATAATCAACTGGTTGCTAAAAAATATGCACCTGACACATAGTATAAACATATTGTATTAAATAGAAATAAAATAACATTTTATTAAGGGTTTCTGACCCACATATTGTCACATTTTATTTTAATAATGTTATGATTTAGATTCAACGCCCGACAATTTCCTCCATAATATTGTTTACTAGACTTTATTTCACAAGACTCATAAACTTTCATTATTTATAATAAATGTTAACAATACCCTGTATTTTCTGGCTTGCCAACATTCAGATTATATATTTTTTAAATGCAAAAAGATCAAAATGACCGCAGAAGTTTTTATGAATTTCATTTAAAATATAAAGTAAGACACATTAAAAAAGTCTTTACTTTGATGCAACAATGAATTCATGCGCAAATATATTTTAAATCATTTCACAGATGCTAAAATCTTAAATAAATAGTGTACATTCATCTTTTTGATCCTGCAAAACATTTGTGGAACAGAGTAAGGATTTTCATTACTTTAGCACACTTGAGTAAATGTACTGTTATATACCCCCACTGTATTGTATAAAGTACGAATTATATTTTATCTGGTTTTCTTACTTCTTTTTTAATATCATAATAAACTCAGCACAAATAATAAAAAACTAAATCGTACAACTCCTTAACAATATCTGTTACATTATCCTTTAATAAAGTTATGATGATTTATATTCAATGCCCCGAAATGTCACCCTGAAGACGTAATGCTTATAAAATGTTACAATCAACATTTTATTTTACAACATTTTGAAACATTCATTATACAAAATCATTTTGAAAAGATACCAAATCATTTTGAAGTTGTCAGATTTGTACATTTTATAAAGCACATATCCTGTGTTTTTAGCAGTAGGCGAGTCCAATATAGTGTTTTCTATTGTTGTGTATTTTAAATTGTGTACCCTAAAATGTCAATTCATGTGCAATGTATTTATTTTTTGCATGCTGCTGTCACAAAAACAGAACAATTTGAGATAAATAAAGTATATAAATCAATTATGAAAATAAAAAACAAGACATATAAAACAAACACGAACAAAAAGATATTTCACAGATTTACAAATAATTTCTAAATGACTGTACATGAGTCTTTCTGATTGCTGGATATTTTCCTATGAACTGGAACAGATATGTTGAGTTGTTGTAAAAAGGTAAACAGGATGTCAGGACTATATTACTGTTGTGGCTCTACAGTCCTGAGAGATTTAGTTTGTGATCATGAAAAAGATTCTTTTAACTTCAGATTTGAT